GCCATTTGGGCCACCAGAGTGATCGGAGAGAGTCCACATGTTTAGATTTTACATCCTTTAACACAATTGGAGAGAATCAGAACCAACACTCTTCCCTTTTATGCTGTGTGACAGTCCTCCTTTCGGCAGGATCAACAGTGTTTTCGGTTAACATCATGAGTGCTGTACTCGAAGCAGAAAACAAAGCCAGCACACAAGACTCATGCAAAGTTCCACATCAGTTGGCAATCGCCACACCACAATATGGTTTGGCCCAGGGTTCTGTCCCTCACAGAAACCACACGATGTTTCCAGGACAGGTTGTTTAACATCTTCACCTTGTTAGATCTCTCACAGGTAAACCTAAACCAATTTGTAATCTCATATAAATTTATGTAGGACAGAAGAGGTTCTGCATCTTTTCTTACAACTCAAGGACACTGCCCTTTCGGGCCTCTGCTGAAGTCGTCGCTCCACCTTTGAGAGCACTGTGGTGGCACTGAGAGTTAGAAGCACCGTCGCTGAAACTTCAGGTTAAGTCCCCAACTTTAGGGCAGTCACCTCAAATTAAGTAAGAAACAAAAGTTCTTGTCCTCTCCTGACCATGGGAGGCACCCCCTTAACCAGCACCTACTGTCATTATGCTGCTGGCTTCTCCGCCTACAGGAAAGGGAGATCGGCTGCTCACCCACCTCCCTTACAGGACTGTTGGGGGGAAGCAGGAGACCCTGGGCAAGTGCTGCAAAGTCAGGTAAAGCGTGTATCTCTGTGTAGAATTGTTATCTGTGAGAATTTTGTTATTTTGGAAAGTTCACACAATGCACTTCGCGTTAAAAGAAAAAATTTTTAGAACAACCCATGTGAGCCTCTGCTACCCGTTCCAGAATCTGAACCCTGGACCCAGCAGGAGCTTTACTGGTGCACACGCCAGGTCCCGGTCCCACTTTGTAGATGAGGACCGTGCAGCCCAGAGAAGCTAGAAGGTATCTTAGTCTACAAGTTTCCCAGGGGGGAGAATTATCATTTGCGTGTGTGTCTCTGCAGAGGCCCCTTGGTCACCTCCCCTTGGCGCCTGACATGTGCATAACTGTAAGAAAGAAAAGTCGTTTCTGAAGTTTCCTGCCAGAGAGCCTGATCACTGGGAGGCCTCTGCACAGACATCTTGGGCAAGTTCAAGTCCCTGTTACCCCCAGTGCCTTCTTCTCTGGCCTCTCCCTGCTCTGATTACAGAGATGCTCACCTGCTCTGTGCAAGGCCTGCCTCATGCTATTATTCAACTTGTTATGGGGATGCACTATCCACTCCACTGTCTCAGACCTATTTTCAGACGCCAGACTAATATTCATATTCCCCACAGTTCTAGAGAGTTCTGAATGAGAATATTACAAGACTAAACTTCAGCGCATATGGCAAGAAAGATGTGAGGGTTTAGTCAGCTTAACCAGCACGTAGCACCCTAAAGCACCCAAAGCTTCTGCTCTAGAGAAAGAAGACGAGAAGCAAACTGCGCTCACAAAGCCCACATTCTGCTCCAGAAGGCAAAGCCTGAACTTCCATAAAACAAGGAGTGTCCAATACAAAGGAGAAGTTCTTCACCTGCTGAGGAGACTGTGCTTGGGTGGATAGACTCCCAATTTCAGGGCAGAAGGAAGGCATGGCCCTTGACCGTAACCACGAAGATTAAGCGGGAAGAAACGTGCACACTGCACTTCAGAGGTTTTCAACACCCTGGCTACATACACCACAAGGAAGAGTAAGGCTTAGATTGTTCTGAAAACCTGTTAGTCACTTTTTGAAAAAGAGTGTAGAGGATTTACTTTATTACTGAGTTGGCAGAAATTATTAACTCAGAGCCTGCTGTTGCAGAAATTCAAATACTCCAGAGGCTAGAACTGAGAACACACAGACAACTTTCCTCTTAAGAACTCCTTTGTCAAGGAGACAGTCAGTAAATGTTATTTTGTTACTTCCTAACTTCTCAGATACTTGTGGATATTAGGTCAGCTGCCCTGACATTGATTCTTCAAGCAAAAGCTAACTTTGTTAACCATAATTGCATGCCCATAAAGGTAAGCATTACATGACACAATTCCCTGTCGCTTCTCTCAGAAGAGGTTTAATTTTAGTGTTGGCTCTTCAACACTGTCCCCATTTTTTTTCCATGAGCATCTTAAATATGTGTCAACCAACTATCCTGAAGTAGAGTTCCTAACTGGTCAAGGTAGAGAAAAGCGGCTGGGTGGTGGCACTGCCTTCTTGGAGCTAGCTCACACTCACTTGAGCCCCAGTCAATCCAGAGAAACTGCAGAATTACGGACGCACCACCTCTGTCGGCAAGCTATTCTGCCACAGCTCCAGTTTCTACGTGGGGTTCACTTCAAGCCACGATCCTGTCAAAAGGTTCTAACAATGCTCACTGACGGTCACAGGCAATGGCAGCAAGTAAAGGAGGCGCTTTTCCTCATCACTTGTATTTAGAGACCGTTTCCCAATTCCATCCACCGCACTCACACAGTAGGGCTCTATGTATACCCACCACTGGAGTCCCCCCAGACAAGCCGTATGACAGGTGAAGGCTGTGCCATTACAGCAACCGTGGGCTTCTATGAATGTAACATTTCTGTACACACTAAACTACAAAAATCTGAGCTCTGTCTCCTCCCTCTTCTGGCTAACCCCCCTTCCTCCTCGCCCTCCTCTCCCTCTAGGAACCCTTTAGATCACAGCCTGACACAACATTGGAACCCCTGAGGTCACTGCCCCAGCTGATCTACAACATCATGACCGCCTGTCAAAGCGCCTCCTGATCGCAAAGCTGTCCTGGGTGGCATTAAGGATCAGTGGTAATATGTCAGCAGCCTCTCAGATCCTCTGAAGGCAAGCAAGCACGTGGAATTCAAGAAATTACACTCTGGACAAAAGACGCAGAAGTCACCAAGCTTACATTTTTCATGCCACTTGTTTTATTCTCTAATATTTCAATCTTGGGAACAGCAGCGGCTCCAGTTACTGCAAAAAATTCTGGAAGGTTTTATATAGCTTGTGCCTACTCCACCCCCAAAGTCATAACAAAAATGTATACAACGTTCGTTGAAGACAATTACCACCAAGTCGATCTTAATGGGGCATGAAGATCAGAGATAAGAAGATTACTTAGGATACACAAACCGGAGACTTACAAGGACTGTAACTCCCCAATTTCTACCAAAATTATACAAGCCAATGTGAATTAATCCAAAAACACTGGGGCTAAAGCACAGTGCTAGGAGTAACTAGTCAAGATGATATAAAGGAAAAACAAAAACCATACAGTGAAAGAAACCTGAGTTACCTGGCCCAAGACGATTTTTTCTTGGACCCCTAGCATATTAAAAAGTGATCTCCAAGGCCACTTCCTGGTCTCCCAGCAAATGCAAGGGCTCATTCCATACCTGGATGCCACAACATCTTCCTACGCTCAACCTGTTCCTGCCACAGAAGAAAATGACCCCTGCTGCCAACAATCCCTTTGAGAAAATATGAGAACACTAGGAGCCTTCCCCTCCACACACGAAGGGGGGCAGATAAGATCCCTCTGCAAACAGTAGCCTCGGTGGAGGACCATCTAAGAAAGCAACACCCTGGGATTGACCCTGACCCTCTAGGTGACAAACCACCACCCCAGACCCTCAGGTGGGGGGAAGTAATTGCCAAAGGAGAGATCTTGAAGGAACAGGAAAGAAAATAATCACCTCTGATTCACACCAAAAAGCCGGGCTCTGGCTTGGTCTGAGACGCAATGGGCATTTAGGCCCAGAAAGGCAACAGAAAGGATCCCACCCTTCCCACGATCATCTACCGTCGGCAGCGATTCCAGGAGGGACCCGGCAAAAGCATGTCCACTGGCAGAACCAAGGGGGGGACTCTCCACGAGCCCTGGGCACCCAGCTAAGGGCAGAGTAGGCTGTGGGGGTTCCCTCTGAAGCCAGGAAGATGCTTCCAGCCGGGAGAAGAGGAAAGGAGGACTTTCCTGATCACCCAGAAAGCCAAGACACAGGCGGCACAGGCACCCGAGTCATACCCCGGACACCAGTTGCTCCACAGCCTTTCTCTCTCCCCTCCCCCCCGCCGGGAGGACTTCCCGGGGGTCGCGGGTCCCCGGGGAAGGGCAAGGCGGGTGAGCTCCGTAAGGAGCAGCAAGGGTCGTATATCTGGAGCGGAAGAGAAGGCAAAGCTCTGGCCTCAGTTCCCGTCTGCTCCCTCCGCCCAGGCCGCACGGAAGCCTCGGCCTCACGTACCAAGCGCCGCCAAACTGCCTGACCTGCCCCCGGTTCGGGCCCGTGGGGCGAGAGACCGGGATGGCAGTGGCCCTCGGGGGCAGGTGGGCGTCGGGCGGGTTCCCCGGAGCCCCGCGGGCGAGGGGCATTGGGGAGGGGGAGGGTCCCTGGCCCACGCGGCCTCCGTCCCGGCCCGCGCACGGGTTCTTACGTTGCTCTGAGGGTCGATGGCCTGCAGCAGCCGGTCCCTGATCTGCTGCGGAGACGCCGGAGCCGCTGTCATTGCCTGGGCGAGGCGGGGGGGAGCGGCCGGGCCAGCGGGCGGGCGGGCTGAGGCGGGGGACGGGGGTCACTCACTCGCCGGCCTCCGGGAGCGGAGCCTCATGTTCCCCGCGGCGCCGGGGGAAGAGGGGGCGCGCGGGGTGGCGGAGAGGGGAGCCGGGGCTCGGGCCCGGGGCGCCACCGCCGCCAGAGGAGGAGGAGGAGCCACCGGAGCCGCCGCCGCTGCTGCCGCCGCCTCGAGAACCAAACTCCAGTGAGCTGCCCCTGCGCGGAGCACTCTGGGTAACCCGCGCCGCACGCAGCGTCGGCGCCACGCTGAGGAGGTTGGGAGATGGGGCGGGCGGAGACGCCGGGCCTGGGCGGGGCCGCGCCCGAGCCCCGCCCCGAGCCCCGCACGCATGCGCGCGCAGGCGTAGTGGTCCACCGCTTTGCCCCGCCCACCGCTCGACGAAGGGAGCCGTTGGGAGGCGGTTGGGCGGGGCAACGGCCGCTGTTTGGAGGCCCCGCCCCTGGCTGGGCCGTGGGGAGCTGAGGTTTCCGATGGAAACTAGCGCTGCGCGCCGTCCTTGAACCTGGGCACTTAAGGCGGCCGCCTCAGGGTTGGCGGCGGAAGAACTCATTGGGGAGAAAGGTCTTCCCCGTACCGAAAGAGGTGACGGGAGTCGCGGGCGGGAGAAGTTGCCAAGTTTTCCTAGACTGGGGTCCCTAGCCCCTCGATCGCCGTTCCTGGAGACAAGTCCACGTTGCGATAATGCGCGCGGAAGGGTCATCTTAGAGGCGCGTAGGGACGCCCCCACCCCTCAGAGGGCGGGGGTCTGCAGTGCTTCGCGTGCTGTGATCACCAACACATGAGACAGCGAAGCGCCTCTCGGGGGAGCCGTCGCCCCAGCTAAGAAAGCCCTAAAGCCAGCCCCGTGAGCCCACCGACCCCAACGTTGCAAACGTGTGTCAACACCAGGGGTTCTCATCCTGGGCACCAATGACGTTTGCGGCCGGATCACTGTTATAGGGGCCGTCCTGTGCATTTTAGGATATTCGGCATCCTGGGTTTCTACCCACTAAACGCCAGGAGCACTCAAGTCAGGTCAACCAAAAATGTCCAGTCATTGCCAGAGGGCCCCTGGCGGGCAGAACGTCCCCCCACGTTGAGAACCACTGGTTTAAAAGACCCACCCTGCTTTGCGTGGAGATGCTGGAAAAATGAAACCCTCATTATCTGAGCGACATTTCACAAAGGAAGAAATTGAAGCCCGAGGTCACCTAGAGTTACAGGTCAAACCAAGAATTAGATGTCAAGTCTAGGGAGTCTCCTTCCTCACATCCACTTTACTGCCTTTTTCCCCTGCTCTCTGCTCGCTCTCCAGTGCGCGCTCCTACCCCCTCCCCCGCACCCCCGGAGTCTGGAAGCCCTGTTAGAAACACTGTTATAAGAAGGGGTGAAAAGACAGACTGAGTGGATTATTAGCCACAGCCTCCAGAGAAATAACTTTTTTGTTGTTCCAGGAAGACCTAGATTTAAAACAGGAGTGAGGCAGCTGATGAGAACCGCACACGCGCCTTGGATCTGTGCTACACCTGTTAGACTTGCATTTGTCATGCTTCTGGGAAGCGTTTTTATTTGCAAAAACGGCTGTTTCTGCACGTGGTTGTGGCTGCTTCCTTCTGCACATGTGAAGTTTTACATCACCCTTGTGGGAGAAAATAAACATGGGCAGAAAACTTCTTTTTAATTTACCCCCTCTCCCTCCTCGAATGAGGCGCTTTGTGCACATGGTCCAGGTTGGAAATCAGCCCATTTGGAGATACTCTTTATCTCGCCTCAGGTAAGCAAAATAAATTAGCTGTCCCCCAAGCATATTCTGGTCCTGCCTTTCTTCCCATTTCTCACTCAGATGTACAGTATCTTATTTTTTTAATCAAGGACCACATAGACATAAGCGATTTGTTTTGCATGGGCCAGGTGACTTAAGAAAAAAATTGGAAAGCACTCAACTTACCTGCCCTTTTTAAAATTGGGAAGTTGGGGCGCCTGGGTGGCTCAGCCGGTTGGGTGTCTGACTTCAGCTCAGGTCATGGTTTCATGACTCGTGGGTTCAAGCCCCACATCGGGCTCTGTGCTGACAGCTCGGAGCCTGGAGCCTGCCTCGGATTCTGTGTCTCCCTCTCTCTCTCTGACCCTCCCCTGCTCATGCTGTCTCTCTCTCTCAGAAATAAACATTTAAAAAATAATACAAAATAAAACTAGGAAGCAACATTAAGACAACTTGGGTTCTGCAAGGGCACTGACTCCATTCAGTGTCCACATTAAAACATTGCTTATTATATGTTAGTGAAATAAGTGAATGAACATCTCACCAATACCGGACAGCTGCATACACACACCCAGACAGAGGTATTCTGATCAGTTCCATAGATGTGACACACGGTGGGGCTCCATAAATATTTAACAAATAAATGAAATATTAAGTATAATAGTATATACACATTAGGATGCACAGACACGCAGATGAATATATAGTTTTATTCCACATTAACATATATGTAGCAGTAAAAATTTGATCTCCACTCCATGGTAGTCTTGAAAACGTTAGCTTCTCTTAGGTCCAGGAGAGATACTACGGTTCACCTAGCAAAGGTAGTTTTAGGAGCCTGAGTATGGAGCATCCTCCGCCAAGCTTGGTGGTAAAGGGAGCGAACTCGTTTTACTGTCATGGCCCAAGCCGGATAAGCCAGGACATCACAGAAGGAAGCCGTGAGCAGGCCTGCTCACACAACTACCGAGGTCCAGTCTTCCACAGAAATGCCACACGGTGGCCAAGTAATAACATCAGGGGCTCGCCCGGCCGACTCATTCCTGCCGTGAAAGGAGGCTGTGCCCGCTTTAGACACCTACACCCCCGGGAGCTGCCCAATTTAAAGTTATTGGACTTACCCCAATAAAGTGATGTGAGGCCTTTGGTGAATAATAGGAAACATGACTGTAATTAAACCACCACCCTGCTTGGACCCCTTCGTTCACTCTGAATTTAACAGCTGGCGGGGATTTTTTAAAAAACGCTCTCACTTGTTAGCTCCTCCAACCCTATCGATGATCTCAGAAGTACCCAGATATGGGCCTCAGAGTTCTGCTTCGCTTTGCGGCAAGTCCTGTTTACTCTAAAAGTGAAACCAATTGCAGTTGGTTTTGAACGGTCCCCTGAAAGGTCACTGCTTTCAGCAAGGGCTTCAAAGACAAACGAGAGAACTCAATTTCACCATGGCTCCAAGTAGAGGGATATACAAAGGCACGTTAATAGCACAAAGCCTGCTCTGGAGGGTTTTGAAGCCAAGTACAGCCTGTTTCAGGTTGGGGACCCAGTAATACACCATAATTGTACGGTCTGAGCGTGGAAACAGGAACAGGGAGGGCAAAGCCATGGTGGACAGGAATACTAAAAAAGATGGACAGCATTTCCATATATTCATACCCTCTGACCCAGTATCCCTCAACTTCTAGAAATGTATCCAAAGAAAGCAATCAGATGTAAACAAACGTGTACATATGGGGAAGTTGAGGCCAGCATCGTCTATACAGGAAAACAATGAGAAGCAAAGCAAGCGTTCACTAAAAGGAAAGTGTCTAAATGAGGGGTCGATTCTTGCAAATGGGAAGGTTATGGACAGGAAGGGATCACAAAATTCTCTAATTCCACCTGGGTAGTGGTCTTGTTTTATGATATATGCAACATGTAGAAATTTACCATGCTGTACATGACACTTTCAAATACATAAAAAGATATACAGACAGATGACAGATAATCTAGCCACTGAAATCAGTGTTGAACAACCTGGAATGCTCCCGATGTCAAATTAAATGTTTAAATGCAATATATAAACTATACACATTACGATCTTAATTTTGGTTTTATAAAAACCTGTGTACTTCATGCACATGATGCACAGAAAAAAATCTTGGAAGGAAAGAAGCCACAATGTTTACAGCCGTTATCTCTGACAGGCAGAATGACAGGTGGTTTTTCTTCTGACATTTGTGCCCGAAGTTCCCCATTTTCTAGAATGAAGATGTGGTGTCTCCTTGTCATCCCATCCAGTGCTGGGGTTATTCTGACCTAAAGTAGCCTCTAGCCGTCATCTTCAGACTCGGATACAAGCTAATCGGAAGCGTGCCCATAATCTCCACAATCCTGAACACCGATTTGCTATCAGGCCTCCTGATGGATGTCCATCTAAATCCCAACAGTCTGTGTTCTGCCCACTGCCCCAGTTTTGAATGATCCTTAATAATAAAGAGAATAACATTTATTGAGTCCCTAGTATGTGTCCGGTTCCACACTGAGGGCTTTATATGAGGGAGGACCCAGATGAACCCCTTTGGACAGTCAGGCCCCTGTGTCAGCCCCTCCTCTTGACTCTTGGTGGCAAGGCATGGGAGGGTGGGCGCTACAATTTGTTCTAGAGAATGCAGTAGAACCACGCTCTGCCTGGTCTAGGTTAAAGCTTTAAGAAGGTCTAGCAGTCACCATCCAACCCACTCCTCAATCTCCCCAAGAACACCGAAATCCTAACACTCACACACTCGTACAGGTAAATGTCCACAGCAGGACTACTAATAGGCACAAGATACAAACACCAACTGCCCATCAGATGGTGAAGAGATAAATGAAACATACATCCGGGCACTGGAATATTATTCAGCCACGAAAAGGAAGCTACCAGAAAGGCAGCATCCACCTTTGCAGTCCTGGGAGCACAGAGCTGCCTTGTTACAACCTAGTGACTGTGCTAGAAGGTAACCTGGCAAGAGCCAGTGACCCAGGGCCTCTAGGAAGGAGAACAAGGTTCCTCGTGACTAAGAACACGGAGCCCCATATGCCTAATCCCAGCAGGCTGGGACATCTTGGGTGAGGTGCCAGCCATGTGAGCGGAGAAGCCCTTGGGGCTCAGAGCCAGCTTCACTGTGCCCCAGCCAATTTCCTGCCTGAAGAACTGTGACTCGATAGTAGAGGTTTCTAAGCCACTTAGTACTGAGGTCATTTGTTACTCAGTGCTAGCTAACAGAGACAGGATTGCTAATGTAATCCTGAGCTTAAACAGTAAGGAGAGGGGCGCCTGGGTGGCTCAGTAGCATCTGACTTTGGCTCAGCTCATGATCTCACGGTTCATGGGTTCAAGGCCCATGTTGGGCTCTGTGCAGACAGCTCAACACAGAGCCTGGAGCCTGCTTCGGATTCTGGGTCTCCATCTCTCTCTGCCCCTCCCCCACTTGTGCTCTGTGTCTCTCTCTCTCTCTCAAAAATAAACATTTAAAAAAATCAAATAGGCGACTCACACACAGCCACTTCACCTATGGTGCAGCTGGGAATTCCAAGCTGGATCCTTCTGATTCGGAACCATGCTTCTTAACTCCTCCACCCCTTCGGCCTCGTTGTTTGTCTTTGGCCATGAGTGTCCAGTGCTTCCGTCCTCTCCTGAACCCATGCCCTGTCTCATCCTTCTCGTTTGCTGACAGTTCGCTCCTCCGACCTACGGCACACATGTCCAGGCAGCTTATTTTCTTTTAAGCTTTAATTACCTTCTTCATTACGCGGACCTTCATCTAAGTGCAGGGTAACAAGTACTCATACAGAAAAACAACACAGTGCACATATTCTTAACACATACACTTAGGCACAAAGAAAATAAAGGATCAATCTGTCTCTCTTTTGATTCCACTTTTCCACTGCTGCCCATGCTTTTTTCTAGTAGCTTCAGGGAACACTCCTTTAGATCTCTTTCATTTCCCTTTAATTCTTCAGAAGACGGACCGGGTAAATACACTTGTGAAACTGTAAAACCAATTTTGCCTGCTTTTGGTTTATAGACATAAAATCATTCTTGCCTTCTTTTTATTTAAAAAAAAATTTAAAAAAAAAAATTTAATGTTTACATTTGAGACAGACAGACAGACAGACAGACAACGCGAGCAGGGGAGGGGCAGAGAGAGGCGGAGACAGAATCTGAGGCAGGCTCCAGGTTCTGAGCTGTCAGCACAGAGCCCGACACGGGGCTCGAACCCATGAACCTGGAGATCATGACCTGAGCCACCCAGACACTCCTTGCCTTTTCTTTTTTTAAGAAAAGACCTCCAAGGGTGTTATGCTGAGTGAAATAAGTCAGGCAGTGAAGGACAGATACCATATGTTTGCATGTATAGGAGGATTAGGAGGAACCTGATGGAGGACCATGGGGGAGAAGAAGGGGAAAAATAGTGGGGGAGGGGGAGAGAGGCAAACCATGAGAGACTCTTGAATGCCAAGAACAAACTGAGGGCAGTTGGGGGGGGTGGGGAAGGGGGGGAAGGCACCTGTGGGGATGAGCACTGGGTGTTATATGGAAACCAACCTGACAATAAACTATTTTTAAAAAAATTAAAAAGACCTCCAAAAACTTGCCAAAAGAGTGTTTCTGAAATGTTCAAATAATCTCATCACTTGGTCAGGTGATCTAAATCATTTGTAAGATTAGAGACTATTATGTAGTATATATGTATACATATGTATATATTATACATGGCAATATAGAGAGAACATATTGTAGTTTTACATTCTCTCAGTTACTCTCGTGAGGCAATGAAATAAGATCAGTAACTGTTCTAATGCTCTGGTGAATGATTTTGATAACATCTTCTTTAAGCATCTCCAGAAATAAGATCAGATCATCCTTTTTTCCTCAGTAAAGGCAGTGCAGGATCAAGTCAATTTATTACAGCCTTTTCTGTTCCAGAGGGCTCTTGCTAACAGACAGTTTGCATTGTCTCGTCTCCTGCTCTTAAAACTCAGGGACTTCACCTCACGTAACCCCTCGGCCCTGTGAACCCCCTCCCCACCATCACACACCACACATCACATGCTGAAACATGCCACACGTATGCTGCCCATGTTCCCAGCCAGCCTTATTCCTCACCATCCACTCCTGTCGCACTGGTCACCTAGCTTTCTGACCAGGTGGCCTGGTCCTTGCTCCTCAGGGGAGTGACCTGGCTAAAGTCACGTGACTGGATTTTGGACAGGATTACAACTCTAGCCCAGAGCTCAGGGTCCCAGACTGGCAGAGAAACATATGAACCAAGCCAGGTGCAAGCTATTCCCCCAAGGAGCAGACCAGGGCTAAAGGACTGAAGTCAGAAAGCAACGAGGAGCAGACAGAAGCCACAGTAAAAGGCCCCAAACTGGCCAATGGAACGTCTCAGAAACAAAGGTGCCATGTTGCACCTCCACCCAGAAAGGAACGAACTCCAGAAAATACGCCCTATGAACACTGCCTGCTATGTATGCAGGGAGGAGCATCATGTCCTGGTGAGACCGGGTCCTGAGCCATCACTGTCACAGACGGAGAAACTGAGGCACAAACAGGAGCAATGACTTCCCCCCCAACATCCCTGGCAAGTGAGGGACAAGGGAACGACTCGGAGCGCAGGCCTACGATCCCCTCCCTACTGCTGGGGACCCAAGGGACCTTGGACATGTCACTTCCCTGGACCGCCTCAATGAGGAAAACGGGATGACAGCAATGCTTTGGACACCCCTTGTTGCGCCGAAGTCTAGAGGTGACGCCTCAAAAGGCCTGGCGGAAGGGCTCTGCACTTCTGCTCACGCGGTAAGAGGTCAAGTGCAGTTTAAGAAAGAGCCCCACTGCCGCCTCTGACACACCACACACACCACTACACGCACACCTCATCCACGGGGCACGTAACATGCAACGCACTGCCCACGGGCACAGTACACGCAACTGCACCCCACATACAACGTCACACCACACGAGCCACGTGCACACACACAGCTCTTACAACACGTCCCACGCGTGTGCTACGCGCGCATCACACACCATGCACGACGCACCACACCCATCCTGCATGCCACGGGCGCACAGGACACATGCCATACACAGACCCCCACGCATCAGACAACACATGCCTGTGCACACGCAGCTCTCTCTTACACACACGTGCATACAGACACATAGGCACAAGAACAAGCTGTTTATCAAGATTCCTCCAGGCCTTTCCGGAACCTGCAGTGTCCTCTCCAAGGCTGCTGAGGCCCGCAGACTCCCAAGTGAGAGTAAAATTTTGATTTTTTACAAAGGGGTAAAATCGGGGGACCATCTGTCTCCCAACTGCACCACTCCCCCTCCCCAAGAGGCAGGGCGGGAGTGGGGGACTCCCTCCCCGCATCATCCAGGCAACTACACAGTTCATTTGTCTTTTTTTTTTTATTTTTTAATGTTTTATTTATTTCTGAGAGAGAAAGACAGCATGAACAGGGGAGGGTCAGAAAGAGAGGGAGACACACGATCTGAAACAAGCTTCAGGCTCTGAGCTAGCTGTCAGCACAGAGCCTGATGCGGGGCTCAAACCCACAAACCACGAGATCATGACCTGAGGTGAAGTCAGACACTTAACCGACTGAGCCACCCAGGCGCCCCCACAGTTCATTTGTCTTAAAGTGAACCTCAGAACTGGACTCTTGCATCAAACCGCTGGCATGAGATTCTCTTCCCTCACTCTGTGGTTTCACAAGGACAGTTCTGGAGACATGAGCAAGCAGATGTCCTATTTGAAAAGGGTCTGACCAACAGCCCCTCTGCCTGGACCTGCCTCTTCCCCTAAGAACACCCCGAGCTGTGCCTAATTCCCAGGGCCACAGAAGAGGACTGCAGGAAAGGACGAAAGTTCCAGAAGCCTTTTTCCTTTTTAGAACTTTCCAGAAAGTTCCTATTTGTGCCTTTTTCCTTTTTAACCTCAAAACGTGGTGGCAGTTTTCCTCACATTTCCTAGATGCTCTGATGTGTACATCTCTGTGCGTTTTTCTTCTTCCTGATTACAAGAGTAATGTTTGGTGTAGACAGTCAAGTACAGCAAAATATAAAATAAGATTTAAAAACCACGCCCTGGGGCACCTGGGAGGCTCAGTGGGTTAAGCATCCAACTTCGGCTCTGGTCATGATCTCGTGGTTCGTGGGTTCAAGCCCCACATCGGGCTCTGTGCTGACAGCTCAGAGCCTGAAGCGTGCTTTGGAGTCTCCCTCTCTCTCTGCCCCTCCCCCTGCTCGTACTCTCTCTCTCTCTCAAAAAT